ACACATCAGTAGAGATGAGAAAAAAAAATAAACAACTGTCAAAGGGTGATGTTGAAACAATTTTCTACTATGGGTCTGAAGTGAAAGGTCACTTTCTAGTGATTATGTTTCTCTCTGAGTAAAACAGAAAAAGCATCAAGACATTAGTAGAGAGTCATCAAACCACAGAATTTTGAGGCCATTAAATCATACCTGGGGGCGGGGGGAAGATACCCATATAAGAGATGTATTATTTTTCTTTAAAGATAAAGATTACTTGAAATAAATATTAAATCATTCAAAACATTTTCATAGAATAGCATTAAAATTTTGAAAAATGTACTTAATTAAAATGTAACGAATTGCAAGGTTAAAAACTTTAAATACTATCACACTCTGTTTGATATGTGGTACGAAGAATGGTGTTAGAGTAAAACAGGAATTCTCAAGATATTACATATCCTAGCTGGCAAAAAAGAAGATAATAATAATACAAGAACAAAAAAACAAACTGGATGATGAATTCCATGTATAACCAATTTAAAAGGGTCATTAGAAGAAATTGGATCGAAAATACACTAATACCAACATGTGAAAATTTGCAAAACATTGTCCATTAAATATATTATGTATTATATATTTATCCCATTTATTTGATTGAGCTTGGAGAAGATTATAACAAAACAAACATATATCAAAATATTTCAAAGGGAAGTATTAGGTAAGGATCACAAAATTATAATGCAAGGTAATTTTTAAAAACTTAGAACAAGGTAAATAACATAAGTAACTTGAATGTAGTGTGTATGTGTATATGTGCATTCTCCTTACAGAATAATGTAGCAAATGAATAAGACAATGAAAGGATGAGTATAGTTCTCATTCCTGTTGAGCAAATTTGCTGTATCAATGAGATATCCATTTTCTAAAGAATGCAAGGAATGAGCCATTAGCATTAATGTAAATGGTAAGGAAAAAATCACCAATAAATCAATGGACTGTTACTTCTATATAAATAATAGAAAAAGTAAAAAAGCAATAAAATGCCTATGCTTGTCTCTATAGGAATTATAAAAATTAACATCCAAGAGAATATTTGTCCTGTTATTGTAAGTTTTACTATCCATGAATATATATATATATATATGCACTCAATCAAGTAAAATTATAATATTAACATAAAAAATCATATTCTCTATGATTGCAATTAACAGGTATAACAGAATTTTTTTTAATGTATTAAGAGAGGAGCGGAGAATGGTATGTACTTAATTCACATAGAAACGATTTCAACAAATTTCTTTTAGGTAACTTACAGATGAAATCAGTTGGAAAGTTAGGAATAAGTTTCAATTCCCTCTTCTGACAAATCTCAGTATAACTAGGAAGCTATTGGAAGAACATCTCTAACCACTTTTTATATAGCACTCCATCACTATGGGATCAATAGGGTGCATATAATTTGAACTCCTTTTTACTTGTACACAATGGTTTTCTAAAGCAGCAGTGATAGTAAGATTCTGGATTTTTCTTAACTATAGCCAAAAGGAAATAGCAGGAATATGCACAGATATTATTTGATATTGAAGTTAGTACGAGTAGAAAGTTCAATAGTTAAAACTATGCTGCCAAAAAGTAGCATTACCAAATACAAAAATGAAACTAAATTGACAGGTAGAAATTTGCTTTGGCTTTCCATGGTTCTGCTCCACCTTTCTTTTCTCATCTAATAGGTTTTTGAATTAATAACAGATATTGATATTACACTTCTAACAAAATTTTTGAGAGTAGGGTTTTAAGAACAATTGAAAGTACTGACAGTGAGAGCAATTAAGATATTTAAATACTCTGTGTCAGGACAAATCACATGGGTACATAGGAAAGCAAAATGAAGCACAATAAAGCATGTGTAAGAGTCTTTCCTTAATACAAGAACATCTGTATTACTCAAGCAAAGAAAGCGTACACTTTACAACTTGTGCTATTTGGAAAAAGTAAGTAAACTGTGCTCTTGAAAAAATTCAGAAAATATACATTCGGTAATACAAGAGATTTTAGAGATAAGATGCTAACACCCAACTGAAAAAAAGGTGCATATGAAATAGACAGGAAAGAGAGGTGTCAAATAAGGATATCATGCAAGGAAAATTAAAATGCAAACATTTAAGTCTGTATTGGAAATAATGAAGCGCGTAAACAAAATGCCAATGATTGAACCTATGATCTAGAAGAAAAAATTTCCCAGTTTAAGTGGAAAATAAATAAAATTACTGGGGGAAAAAAGGTATTTATGGAAAATGGTTAAATTAAAATAATTAGAGACTGCTTACATTTAAGGTTTTTGTTTTTTGTTTGTTTTGCATATGGTAGACTATTGTATAGCCAGTAAAATTAGAATTTCCAAGAGTTTTTAATGCCATGGAAATGTTTATTTACAATTTAAGCAAGAGGAATACTTTCTTTTTTAACATTGTGCTATAATATAACTTTGTAAACACACACACCTATTTAGAAAATAAATTATATTGTCAAACAGTATTTAGAGTAACTAAATTGGACAGGGCAATTCATTCAACATCTACTCAGTAGATATAGTAAATGTGTGTTATGCCAGGGGTATAAAAATGAATGATGCAGATAGAGTCTCAACATTTATTGAACATATAGGCTAATGAAAAGAGACAAAAAATAAGGTAAGTAATTTCAAGAATAAGTAGTTTGGGATACTGTGCAGGGTGGCCTACTTTAACTATGCTGGATCGTAAATAACTATCTGAACAATGAGAAAGATCCAAGCACATGACTATTGGTGAGAACAGCCTCTCCCACAAAGAAAAGAGCAAATTCAAAGGAGTTGAATTGGTTCAAGCTTGCCAAATTGACACACATGGATAAAAGGGCAATTTGGGGTGATATATAGAGAAAAGAGGAAGAGTGGGCAGGGACCATATTCAGTAGGTCCCTTTAGATACAGATATGCATTGTATTCTAACTGCAAAAGAAGTCTTTGAAGAGGACTGACATTATTTGCATTTGTAAAAGGATTGCTCTGACTGCTTTAGCAAATGGACTTCAGAGGAAAGAGAATTAAGGAGAACAACAGATTGTTAACTTTTGCAGTTTCCCAGTCCAGTGGAGATGTTAGTTATCAACTTTGTTTAGGGTAGGGATTCTCATGGAAATTAGGGGTAGTATATTTTACCATTCCCAAAGAATATTAGGCAATGTCTGGAGACTTTTTTAGTTGCCACATTGTGGTGGGAATGGAGGATAGGAGCTCAAAATGCTGCCAAACGCCCTATAATGCATGAGAAAGAGAGCCTCACCCCTAACAAAGAATTATCTGGCCCAAGGTATTTGTAGTACTGAGGTTGAGAATTACTGATTTAGGGTGAATGGAATGGAAGTGGCGAAGTGGACAGACCAGTATAATCGTGCAAAAATATAGAGAGAGCACAAAACTTTTAGCAGCCTTTTGAAGACTCCTTAAGCTATTTTAACAGAAAGAATATAAATATGCAGATCTTTAGTGGACATAATTTTCATGAAATATATCTCATACTTCTTGAACCAGCAGTTAATGTAAAGTTTTGGTTTCTGTTTTATATGGAGAGATACCAGAAATATATGCAGTATTGATCTGTCAATTATCCATGAAGACTAACTTTTTTTTTTTTTTAAGATTTTTATTGGGGAATTGGGGAGTGGGAACAGTGTTGGGGAATTGGGGGAAGGGGAACAGATAAGTTGCTGTCCTTTTGGTCTTCAGTCTAGTTGTGGAGGATGATGCTTCACTGGCCCAAGTTGGCACCATCATTGTGCTCTTCCTGGGAAAGGCAGATCAGTCGCCAGCTTCTGGAAGGCCGCTCACGCTGGCTACTGGCCCCTCACGCTGGCATGCAGCTGTGGCAACCCGCTGCAGCAGGGGCTGCAGCCTACGCCTGACACAGGCGACTCATGGCAGCCCAGTTCCAGATTGAGCTGTTGTTCAGCATCTTAGCTGTAGAGGGCAGTGTCACTGGCCCTCATTTGTGGGATCCGAACCGGAGCCCTCTGGCGTCCCAAGCCAGCTCTTAACCAACGTGCCAATCGGCCAGCCCCAAGACTAATAACTTTTTTAAAAAATCAAAAATTGAAGTTATTTAAAAAGACTTTTATCAAACCAACTTACTAAAAGTTATTTTAAAAAGAATCTTGACTCAAAAACTATTTTTAAGATAAAAAAGGGGACATCTACTCACTTGCCATTCAATGCTGCTACACCAACTGTGCTCCGGGCAATTGACATACTGGCCACGAAAGTCCATTGCTGACTTTGGGGATCCCACCTCTCCACCGTATTCAGATAGCTCCAGCCATCATGGCCTCCCACGGCATAAATAGGGCCTTCAAGCACTGTCACACCTAAAACATGGGAGAAATGAAAACTGAATGGGTTTATTTCACCATGATATTTTAAAAAAATCAAACGGGTAGTAAAAATCATGTTGCTATTTAAAATAGGCTCTAGCTGTTAAGAAACAATTGCAATGAGGTAGAAACTATTTACTAAAATTGAATAATTTCATTAAAGTGAGAATAAATTTAGTACCAAAAATAAATAATATGACCCAGATGCTTTATAAAGAAAATAAATTTCCTTATTTATGCCTATGTGAAGAAGCAAATTCTAAAGATCAGAGATTGTAGATCTTGTGCATCTACTCTGAAGATTATTTCTATACTATCATTTAGAGTATCACTTTAAGCAATGTTGTATGAAGCAATGTAATATAAATTTGAACAGAACATAGTATCTACTTTTATTTTATTATGAATTTCTTTACTTTCTCCCAGTAACTTTTTAAATTTTTTTAAAAATTTGCAATATAATATTATACATTTTGTTTCTTTTACTTTATTTTAATGTTATGTTTATATATATTTAGGAATTGATTTTTTCTTTCTGAATTGATTTTTTTTAAGTTATGAAATATTTATTTTTTTATTCAATAATGCTTCTCACCTTACAGGTCTCATTTATCAATTATTAATGAAATTACATTAAGACTGTTTTTATTCCAGTATGCTGATCTTGGACTTATGTGGTTATTTAATCTATCTATATTTAATGTAATAACTGATTATCTTTACATAAAATTTTAATGTTTTTTCTACATAGTTCTTCCATTCATTTTTCCATTTTCTTTCTCCAACATTGCCCTTGTAGTTGTTGTTATTTATTTAGTTTTTTTTTTCTCCCTGTCCTCATGTTTCAGTTCATTGTAGAGGTAACACAAATGAATCACTTTATCAAACAGGTGGTCAAATTATTAAATAAGGTTCACATGAATGAGTGATCTTACACATGACCAAGATTTACTAATAATTTCAAGGATACAAGAAATCCTGAGACATATGCAAAACAGAGGATGTTTAGACTTTTACTCTCAGACAGTTCCTGTCTCTCCCAAGTCTTGGTACTTCTTGTGTGGTAGGTCCTCCATGGAAGCTCTGAATTCTAATATGTGCCTCTATACCTCAGAAAGTGTAGCAAGCCCTGGTTATCAGATTTTGCTTTGCTCCTTTGACCCTGTGATACAAAAGAGCCTGGAAAAAGCAGAAGTAAACATTGAGTTTATCTCAGTACTCATCCCTTTGAAATCTGGCTTCTTAAGTGCTGGCAGCTTTGGTTTCTCTCTGATGCCTTCAAAAATTTGATGTATTTTATTCAGTTTTCATAGCTATGCATGATGTAACTAGGATGCTTACTCAGATACTAGATGTTTCTTCAAGGCTAGAATTTAAATTTGTATAAGACTTCTAAGTTTATTTTTAATGTAAACATTTAATAAATAATGTAATCAAATGTATTAATCTATCATTAATACATTGGATTTGCTTTATACATGTGTGTTTACAATTTTTCTCTACATGGTTTCTTAATGTCTCTATATTGCAATTTCCTCATCACTAAAGTGAGAAGAATTATAGTAATGATCTCATGCTGGTATGGTGAATATTATATAAATTAATGTATATAAAGCACTTAGAACAGAATCTGCTACATTACAGCCACTCAATAACAATTATAATTGTTCTTATTATCTTCATGTTCAAGTCTCAGAGAGGCTATAAAAAGGAAATTCATAGAAGAGGATATATAAATGTCCTATAAGCATATAAATGTGCATAATATAAATGGTAATCAGAATAATCAGGATATAAAAATAAAATGTCTTTGAGAGAAAGATTTTGACAATAATACTTTAAAATATTTTCAAAAATCTAAAATTATTTCTAAATCATTTTAAGGGCATTTTAAGAATTCTTAACATGTAATTGTAATTTAGGAACACCAGTGAAGATAAATTTAACATTGGTTAGTGCAAACATGATCAAGCTTTTACAAAAATTTGAAATGTTTTATAATTAGGCACTGTAATTATTACAGAAAGCAAAACCCAGCAATTGAGTTATAAGAATAAGTAAATATTAGTTACAATAAACAAAAAAATCTATATAAACCATTAATCTTTTAACATAGGTATCTATTCAGTTGTTCTAAAAAAATTAGAAAGTTTTCCATGTCTGCTGCTGGAGATAAAATAAAAGCTACATTCTAAAGGAAAATACACATAATCAGCACATAAAATTATTAAAAGATATAAAAAATTACTATTCTTTAATTAACTAAAGTATTGTGAGCAAGAATCTCAGGGCCAGAGGCAGAGAAATGCAGTAGTTAACAGCTCTGGTTTTGAAGAATAATTAATTGCCTGGGCTCAAATTCCAATCTAATTGTACCAGCTATGCAATGCTGGAAAAAAAATCCAAAATTCCTTATACCTCAGTATACTCATTCTTGAAGTGTACCTACCTCATATCATTTATCGAAGCTTAAATATAAAAGTCATGTAACAGTGTTTGGCAGATAATAAAATCTTAATAAATTTTAATTATTATGTAAATATCATGGTCAGTATGATTTCTCTTAGAAAGAGTTATTAAAGCTGAGATTTTAAGAACTACAAGCAGGATAAAAGAGTAATTGTAAGATATGTCATCACTCCCCAAACTTAAATTCCTCTCTCAAACATCTCTGCTTATAACTAAATAGTTGAGCAAGTACTATATTCAGAGGATTGTTGTTTATTTTAACAACCCAAATTTGGAAAATAGTCAAGTTTTTCTTGAAAATATTTATACTTTATGCTTACAGATTATAAAGAAAGATGTTCTTGTAGATGAACCCGGGATTTCTGAACTCTGGATGCCTTATAATACAGTTTTCATATTTCTTGCAGCTGTGATAATCCCTTTCAGAAGGGCTTCGTTAAGTAGCATGTAAAATTGGACCAGAATAACTTCCAAATCAAAATAATACTTCCATTACTTCCTTATGTTTACTAAAAATATCTTTACAGATGCAGTAAAGCAAGGTTAACAATGTAAAAATATTTTCTGTGCTTTGTTCAGTAACAATATTAAACCTGCATTAAAAAATAATCTAATGAAAACTGTAGAAATATTTAAGGTCATTTTCATATGTCTCTCGATTAATTGCTTGCTTACTTCTGATTAAAAAAAGTAAATGTCTTTTTGATGTTTAGTTACCAAATATTCATTTTTTAATACAAATAATAATTTATGTATTTTAAATTATAGTTCTTGCACATATTATTTCCCTTCAGAATTCTGCAGTGGAATATCTACTAGAATTTTTCCAATAATTTTCCATCAAGATAGCTCTGTGAAATTAGCAAAACCATCCTTAATTTTTAGGTCAAATAACAAAAGTTAAAGCTCAGCACTTTCCCGTGGGTTTTAACTGCTAGGGATATTTTTTATATAATCCTACAAAATATCCCCACCCTAGACCTACTTAATTAGAATTTTCATTTTAAGAAGATCATCCAGGAATCATATACACATTAAAGAAGGACCAGTGGTGTCCAAAGCGGAGGACCTCCACCCAAGAGGGCGCATAATACAATCATTTGGATATGCAAATAACATGTCAGAAATTATATTTCCTTATGATTTAATGTCTATCTTTGCATGTTTTATAGTGATTATAATTGTAAATAATTAATATGTTTATATAATTTATGGAAACCTATTAGGGTGAATAACTAATACATTTATAATGTATGAAAAATCTATTGGAGTCAAAATTAGCTTACCGATAGGCATACAAAAATGTTGGAAATTATTTCTTAGATAGTCCCGTACTTAGTTATCATATCAGTACATACTAATTTCATGTAAGGTAATGAGCGTTTGATTCAAAACTAAAATCATTTTATAATTAGAGTCCAAACCTTTCTATAGCATTTTCAAAAGGCTAAACACTTACATTTGATTTCTATAATATCCATGTTGCAGTGACTGATAATTGGCCCCTACCCTGTTTTCTCCTTATCCTATCATAATAGAGCCACTATTTTTTAGATGGGCACACAGCCACTCAGGAAAAAAATATATATATATTCTGGTAACTTTAGCCGTTTGCAGCTAGATGCAGCAAATGACTAAAGCAAAGGCATGCTGTCTGAATGCTCACACAACGGACAGGGGCGAAGCAACCACATAGGCAATGAGGTTCCCTTGGGTCTGCTGTTAAACATGGGGGACCAATAAGAGCGAAGACCTAAAATGCTCTCAGGGCGTTTTACAGCTCTGTGGTGGTCTTGCTCCCAGATGCTCAGATCCTGCCTTTGCCACAAGGAAGCATTCAGTCTAGTTATACCCCTTATGTTTTGGGTTTTACTCCTAAACAGGTTGACTTCATTCTCATAGATTGAACTCAGGAGTATTCAACTTCTCCGACTTTTTAGAATATACCCAAATCCTTAGCAATATGCATCAAATAACCCAATTTTGCTTTAAGAATTCTATTTTCCAAACGTGTATTCTAAATTTCAGGGTGATACAAATAATGTATAAATACCAAATTGTTTCACTGATTTAATATGTTTATATTTGAATATTATTCATCCATGATGGGGGGTTGGGGGTGGGGACATATAACAAGATGGAAGTAGCAATCAAATATAAAAAGAATTAGCCTTCAAAGGTATGATTTTTTTTCATGAATTACATTAGCTCTTTTTCATTACTGTATATTAGCTGTTTCAAATCTGCAAATGTTGAGTCCCCACATAAAAATCTGTCTAAAGAAGGTAGCTAATAAAAGCTAGTTACAGATGCTTTAATACTTCATGGTTTTAAAAAATGATATAACAGTAAATATAAACATATATATGTAAATATAGAAGCAAATAACTATTTAAATAGACTTTAAATACCTATGAAATCGTGTCTCTACCAAATTTTGAAATTTCATTTGTAGCACTAAAATCATCCGAATTTTTAGGAAAGTATGCATAGTGCCTTGAATGGAAGTCTAAAAAAAGGCGTGTCCATGTCCGAATTCCTAGAACATGTGAATGTTACCTTATGTATAGATAGATAGGTTTCGCAGGTATGATTAAGTTAAGGCTCTTGAGATAAAGAGATCATGTTGACTTAGACAGGTGGTCCCTAATTCAACGTGGCCTTGTAGGAGAAATACAGGGGCGATTTGACAGACAGAGAGGAGGCGATGTGAATAAAGAGCAGAGATTGGAGGGATGTGGCCACAAGTCAGGCAACAGCTGGAGTCTCCAAATGCTGGACGAGGCAAGGAAGGATTCTCCCCTAGAGCCGCTAGCGGGAAAGTGGCCTTGCCAACACATCAATTTTGGACTTTTGGCCTACAGAATAGTGAGAGAATACATTTTAAGCCAACTTTGTGGTAATCTGTCATGGCAGCCCTAGGAAACTAATATGGTGTGCTTGGAGAATTCGATCTTCCACAATATATGGTTGCTTTGTAATAGATCGTTGGAGATTCCTCTGTGACCCTCTGAATTTTTCTCTTCTCAGTTTTACATACTGCACTTGACTGTGAGACAAAAACAGTGAAAAAGGGTCTACATTAAAAAATGTCTCTATATAAATATAGTTTAAGCATAAAAAGTTATGAAAGTTTTAAAAATGTATAGAATATATATATATATTTATATGTATATTTATTTTAGTAGCTTTTTTTGTGTCTAACTCTGTATAATCAAATGAGCACAGAATGATGATGATTAATATAATAATAATAATAATAATAATAATAATAATAAATAAATAATAATACTACTTCAATCATTCAAGAATATGAATGGGAAAATGAGTAATGGGGAGACAAAAGGAAGTATGCATAGATATCCTTTGTCTTGTCAATGGAAGAAATTCTCAGAAATATCCCCACAGATTTCCCCCATACTTCCTTGTCCAAGGCTGTTAGAATCCCATCCCTACACTCATAACTGGCTCAGCTAATGGGGTTGCCTTTGTGACACTTCCTGCACTGGTAACATGGTATCCATGTAAAAGGTTATCTTACAAAAGATAAAGTCGGGTAGCTGGTGGTTAGGCAATCAACCACGTTTGTCCTAAGAAATGCGGAATGCAAACCGGAACAAGCTTAGCTGGAACAAGTGTGATGGATAGTAATGTTAGTATAAATTAGTTTTTTGAAAAACGAGCAATCTTTTACCAATTTTGCTACTTGC